GGCTACAGTATTTTAGAAACATGCATTCTGAGCAACAATTTAAAACATTTTCTTTGGGACTGTAAATAGTCTCTTAAAAGGGAGAATAAATCCACATAATATAGTATTGGTAGAACATATACTGAAGTACACAAATGAGTACATGGTGTGTCTGCAAAAGTTAGGGAATTGAGACATAAAACAAGGACAGGAGAAAACACTGCTTTGCAGGTCCTAAAAGTCCATAAATAGTATCTTTAAGCTATTCACTCAACAAACATGAGATATTAAGAATGGACAGACATAATGGAACACTTGAGGTGCTCTCAGCACTTACTGTAGTATACAAACCATGACCCATGCCCAAATCCAGCCCAGTATTTATTTAGTAAGCAGAGGTCCACCGGCCTGTGGCCCCTACCCATTGCTGACATACTGTGCATGGCTGTGCAAGGTTGAAAAGTAGCAACAAGGCTCATACAGCCTGTCAAGGCTAAAAAAGTGTGCCAACCTTTGATACAGAGCAGAGAAAACCTGTAGAAAACACTATTTCCTAAGAGAAAGAGTACTATCTTAAGAGAAGGGAGCAAGTTTAATGAGGAAGGTGATGAGTGAAGAAGAAATATTACTTATAAAGGCACAGGGTGGGAACACTATTTGAAGACAACAGGAACAAATACAGCTCTTCTTATATATAGGATATTGAAGGCATGGTGAGAGAATGACAAAGAATAGGGGTGATAAAACGGTTACCTCCACAGGTTTAAACTCAATACTACAGATTGAAGGACAATAACTTATCGAAAGAGGTAAAATACTAAGATTTATAAATGAACTAAGATGTTTTGAAATTAGAATAGCTTTCATGTTATTTTTAATGGCAGTTTTTCTTTTCTTTACTGATTTGTACTGACCTGATTTTTCCAAATGAGAGCAAAGAATGAAACTCCAGGTACCCAAATGCACAACTGCAGAGAATCCTGAGCATTTAAATAGACACGTGCATTTGCGTGCCATGCAATTTATTATGCTATCAAGTGGAAAGACACTTAGTGTAGGAAACAGCAGCTGAAAGTTATTAAACAAGGGAATGTGATGATCTAACATGAATTTTAGAAAGCCTAACTCCAGTGATATGAAAGTTAAAGGCAGAGGAACCCTGTGCAGAGATGTCTGGAGACGCCACTCAGCCAAAAGGAAAAGTGATGTGCAAGACAGAGACAGAAAGTAGGTTGTGTACAAGCAGACTGAGCAGGACACATGCAAATCTCCTCAGTAGGCAACAGTGCGCAGATGAAATTTAGCAGGGGCAATGGCTGAAATCACAAGAATGGATGAAATTTTTTCAGAGGTAGGTAGTAGTGTACATGGTGAAGAGAAACAACAGAAGACAGAGTGAAACTCCACAATGAACAGGAAGAAGGAACACAGAACAGTCAGGAGAGGAATGGGGGAACTAGATCAACATGATGCTACAAAGGACAGTCACATAGTTTCAACAGCTTCTCACAGTAAGAGTCCAGCAGCTGTGAAGTATTCCTTAGATCTTACAGTGACTAACTGCAAGACAATGGAGACAAACCAAATGTTTGTCCACAGAATAAAGAGCCATGAATGATTAGTGCATAAGAGGGACCCTGAATTGAGAGGGACCTGGGCTGCAATCCCAGCTCTGCTACCTTGGGCAAATTATTACTGATCTTCAGTTTTCAAGTTATACCCTTTGAACATCCCTACTCCAAAAACCCCAAATCTGAACTGCTTCAAATCTGACACTTTTCTGGCACCAACATGCCACCATAAGTAGGAAATTCCATAGCTGACTTTGTAATTGGTTGCAAGCAAAAAATAAGTGCGCTAACCTTCAGGCTGTATGTACAGGGTCCAGATGACGCAGAAATCAATTCTGTTGCTATAACTTGCTTCCTACCTCTATTATATCATTATGGGTATGTAAATACTCCAAATCTGACATCCACCGCAAAAAACAAATTCTGAAGCAGTTCTCGTCCCAAGCATTTTGGTAAAAGATACTGAATCTGTAAAAGTACCTACTGCCTCATAGCAGTGTGGTGAGAAATAAATGAAATGATATGAAGTATTTACAAAAGCACTGGCACACAAGATGTATGTAATGGTGATAGATTTATTTAAAATTATTTGTACCAGGAAAGGAAAAGTGAATCATTGTGAATGATTCCTAAAACTTTGTTGCTAGAGCCAGAAAAGCAAAATGTTAAATATTGAGAAAGACACAAAACATGGTAACAACTTTAGCACATTTAAGTGGAACCTCTGTGTGAGATTATATAGCAATACAAAGATGGGAAACAAAATGTAACAGAACAATATATAACTGGGTCTTCAGCCTGAGAAAAATAAAACTGAAGGACATGATAAAAGTCTATACAGAAAATTTCTAGTACTGCCCAGAGAAACTGACCAGCAGATGGAGCCTTCCAGAAAGTGTTGTATGGCTAAACTTAGTAGAGGACAATTCATTAGGATGTCTAAATCTTAATTCTTAAAGACATTTAAAACCTTGTTTAATCATGCATAACTTTATTAGTAATAAGGCTTCCAAAGTACCTCAACACTGATACTGATACTTTGACCACTCTCGAAATATTGTAGAATATAAACACCAGAATCCTCTAGTATTTTTGATAATTTTGGTTTTGAAATGATGGTATAAAGCAAGTGATCTGATTTTGAGGTACTGTTGGGAAATCTGCAAAGGCACAAAACCAGGCATTGGGTCATGAAGCACCCCAGTGAAGTACAGCTCAAGATCATCCACAACAAACCTGGATGCCCTATTTTTCTATCTGTGGTCATCATGGTGAAGTCAAATCAAGCTTCTGTGACTAACCCCCATCTTTCACTTTTAGAAGAATTAATTACAAAAGCAAAAACCAGGCCATAAAAAAATGGCAAAGGTGAGAGGTGAAGTTTAATAACATTACTGTATGAACAATGATATCCATTTCTCTGTACACACTTAGAGAAGTCTGATTTAAAAAATGTCATGCTTAATATGCAACAGTAAGGTAATCATAAGATTCAAGTAAGGAAATTGTCAAAATCTATTTATGGATTAAGAGAAACAGGATCAATATCACCGTTAAATGGTTTTAGATGACAGCAGTAGCCACAACCCACTGATTGCCCCTGTCTCAACAAGATTTGTTCAAGGAGTTTTGCCAAACGTGGCATGGTGGTGCATGCCTATAATTCTATAACTCTGGTAGGTGCAGGCAAAATGATGGTAAATTCAAGCTCAGCTTGGGCAACTTAGTGACTTAGTGTCACCCTGCCTCAAACTGAAATAAATAAATAAATAAATAAGTTGGAGACATAGCTCAGTGCAAAGGCTCTGGGTTCAAGCCCCAGTACCCCTCCCCCACATACACATGTACACTTTTAAGTTTTGCTAAAAACCAGTATAGAGTCACTGTACTGTTAGGTTTTTAATGACACACTTATAGCCAACACTCACAATGATCAACTGACTTCCTCGTGCTACTTCCCTATCTTTCTGGCCTTTTGGCTCATAGCTTCCCTATGCTGCCAAGCTCAGGATGTAGATTTAACAACTGCAATGCTATCCTCTAAGGAAAACATAAACAATTTGTAAAAAATCACTGCGAGCCTCCCCCCACCCCCGCCAGTGCCATATAATTTAGCTCAAAATCAAACATCATTTTTTGCTTACTCATTTAGAACTTGTTTTTCATAGGGGTCAGAATTTAATATCCTATAGTGCAATGATGTACAATAAAGCCAACCACTGCACTGTGTTAGTCCTTAGGCAAGCCTACTTAGGCAGCATAACTATTAGATAAGTGCACACCCAAACACCATGACCAATCAGATTATTACATGACAATAAAATGAAACAGCTTCCATACCCTTTTAGTAACAGGGCATATGCCAGGGAAACCCAAGTACTGAAGGAGGCACACAATCTCTAAGTCCTTACAATTCCATTCTACCTATGATGAGTGAGGTGACACAATGCCCGATGAATAAGTAAATATTATATAAGATTCTCATCAAAAAAAGATTCAAATTTTAAACTATTTGGTTTCAGCTAACATATGCTTAAGTGGGACAGGTGCTGAAAACTCAGTAGTGTTTCACAAAGTGCAACATATCTTATTCATTACACAAAGTGGCTTGGTTCAGATTTTCGATTCCAGGTCTGAATTCCTGGGAGACAATAACAACAAAGACAACTCCAAAGGGATCTGCTCCAGTTTTTCAATAGTCTATGAAAAAAAAAAAAAAAAAATATATATATATATATATATATATATATACTAATCATCCAACTTTACTTCTGTTGATACTGTGGATACAAACCCTAGTACTTATCAATTTTACTCACCAGAAGTGAGGTTTAGACAGACTTTGCTCTACCCAGCGTTCTAGAACTTGGGGTAGCAATTATGTCATGGAACAGTCCTCTCCAATTGTAATAAAATTATATGAAAGAACGGCATATTGCTCCTCTATAATTATCTGAACCAAAACTCTGAATGCCCAATGGAAACTCATTAATCTGGCAAACTGTCCGCACATATCAAAGTTCAGCGCCTGGAACCTTATTTTACTCCAGCAATCAGACTACTTCTGCTTAAAATTAACCTGAGGTATCAACTTTAGAGCCAGATTCTTACCTTCTCGGTCCAGGATTAAAGAAGATAAAATGCATAAATGCAAGCTTTGGCTTTACAATCAAGCTCAAGGCTCAGTATATTCAGCTTGTGGAAGAACTCATCCCACTGCCCCAGCCTCCTGAGATGACACCTCTGTGACACCTTCCCGCGAGACAGGTGCCCGCGGGGACCTTTGTGCAGTGGCAGCCACGACCCTCTGCGCCCTCCTCTAGCTCGCTCCCGAAGAAGCCCTGCCCCTGGCCTGAGCAGGGCCTCCACCTGCCGGCCGCCGAGGCTCTCAGTTCCCCACCCAGCGCCGCGGGACCTGAGGGACCCGGGCGGCGCCCCGGCCTGGCTTACCCTCCGCCGCCTGCGCGCTGCAGCCGCCCCGCTTCCTTGCGGAGTAGCCCGCAGCACTGAGTCCAGCAGCAGTTCCCCATCGCATGCCGCCCGGCCGCCGCCTCCGCTCGGAGCC